CCTGCAGACTCAGAGAGAACCAGGGCCAGCTTCCGAGCTCGTGGTGAGATTGAACTGGATGGTTACTCACATCTGGACGATCTCGTGGATCTGATCCAAAAATTGAGAGATAAGGGGAATCCTTGGTGATGAGGTGAACTTTATCCTACTGGCCCGGACCCTTAAAGATGCTGGTGAGAAAATTGGGAAGCCAACGCGACGAGACAGTGGAACGACACAGGGCTATGCAACCACACTGGTCGAATTGTCTTATCCGTGTGCAGACGATTGGTACCAACGTGAACTAGTACATTCACCCGGCGGAGGATATGAATGGAGCAAGATCATTTTGCTGGTCCGATCAATGCATGAAGCATGTGTCGCATAGAAGAAATAGGTATGTTTTGATGTTCAGGTAGATGTTCTCCCGATCTGCTATCACAAAGCAAATGAACGGATGTCCATATCGAACAACCGTGTGCATTCATGTTGGTAAAAGCATTGCTGGAGAACGTGCATACCCGGCACTGGCCGACTTATCTGAAAATCTCGATTGGCAATGAAATAGCAGTGCGAATCAGATAAGCTCGATATTCCATCACGGTTACGGGCGTCCTGCTTACTCCAGTTTCAGCTAAACAATAGCCACACGACCGTGACATCTCCCGGGATCGGGGATGACTGGAGCAATGGTGCGCATTACTTACTCCTACCTATCTGGCTTGTCCCAAGAGATTGAGGCATACACTAGAAAACATCTGGACGGAATTTGAGAGAACTGATGTGTTGAATTGTGTGGGCCCATCACCAGAGCCTTCCTCTGGCTGAACCAGCATAACACGATGTGATTGTGCTAGTTCTAATGTCACCGAAGTTGGCAATTTCCGACATGGTTGTTTGAATTGCATCAAGATGATAGAAGGACATTGCGAATATTCGTGTGCATGTCTGCAGTCGGTGTCTAGCTGGGGGACTTCACATACTACTCATCAACATGTGTGAGGAATACTTCTCCCTACTCCACTAAGGCCTACAGTTGAATAGACCACCTCAAACCGTGTACTGCGATCAGAACGGTTAACATCCAGCAATAAATCTACCGATTGTCACCAAAATTTTTCGAAAACGAAGGAGGGAATTTTAGGTAGGAACGCTTCCTGAAGAGGAGGAAGAAATTGAATGCTCCGTTATCGTTCATGCGATGTGGAGATTGGAGATGCGAGCTATAAGTGAACGTAATTTCACGAGACGAAGCAATTCGGAGTTGTAGCGAATCCCAATCGAGATGTATCTTTTCCAAGGAAAGGGAATGATTATCGTAAGAGCAGGTGATTTAGAATCTGCACCGAGCTATACTTTGTAACCATCAGACAGCGGCCGTCTGAATCCAGTCCAAAGTCTGCCGATTACTGGCCCCACTATCTGACGGTGTAAAATTGTAGGTCAACGCTTGCCGAATTTTTCCAAACAGAGAGCTTTGTTTGTTTGCGTTAGTGATTCCGGTAAACATTCAGGAGGGTGTTGACCAATAACGGTCACGTGAAACTAGCTACAAACGACACAATCTAGATCCTAGCAGGTCACAATTAATCTATTTGGAACAGAGAGCGAATGATTCGAAACGGTATTTAGTAAGGTTATCCTACGTTGAAACGCTCCATTGAGATATAAGAGGAAACCCTTCGTTTCGGACTTGTACGAATGACATCTGGAATGGATGTAAATTGGGAGAATGAAATTCAATTCCTTGGAGATATTTTCGTTCCCTAGAATCAGTACTGAACCGACATGGCCGATCACAGAAACCGTTTGTTGACCCTTTTAGGCGCGTTGGTGCCATACGTTCTTGTATGCATGCATTCCACACATTTTGATGCACTTTATAATTCAATTATGGTGACAAAACAGTTAGCTTGATTGAGGAAAACGCTTTTGAAACCGAAATACCCAGGAATCTTCTTATTTCATCCAGACACCGACTAACTACTGGGCTGGGCTACTATCCCATAAAACAAGGCTGAATGTTCAAATAACTGGAGGTTAATTTTGCTGGGTGGACAAGTCATGTATGAACAAAAACACTGCACTCTCAAAGTCCACACACTTTCGTAACAAGACACACGGATTCCTGATTTCACCTCGGTTGGTGATGATACATCTGCAACCAAATTTGTCAGTTGCTTATTCAACGCAACGTTCACTCCCAGAGCTTTTTCGTACATGCAAGAACTTGTTCAACATAGATAAGGAACTAGCCGCGACGCTGTCTTGCATTCATCACCATCTAGTCAGGTCACATTAACTTGGAAAGAAACGACCGCATACAAAATTGTTTAAGAGTATACGTCGGGGGGTTTTGAAGCCACGAAAGAAGCGAAACTTCACGATAATCTTTCACTTTTTTCACGTCGATCCCAATCTGCTTGTTATTCTGATGCATATTGGGAGGTCAGTAGTGCACGCACAAATAGTAATACTTTGTGGTAACTGTTCAATTCTAACTCTCTAATTCTCTGAAACCAGCTTCGCTTTCGTTATCTCTCCGTCCGAACTTCACAGAGCAAAAAGCGCAATTCAACGGAGATTTTCCTTCGGTGGACGAAGGCAACAAGGGAATTTGGATGGACACGTTGACT